GACAGGGTCTCACTGAGTTGCTTAGTGCCTTGCTAAATTGCTGAGGCTGGCTTTGAACTTATGATCCTCCTGCCTCAGCCCCCACCTGAGTTGCTGGGATTACAGGGGTGCGTCACCACGCCTGGCATATAGTAATATTATTTGCCACACTTTTTCCCCAAAATGTTTTGTTGAAATTTAGGGGAAATTTTTTAAACTTCTAATAACTATTTCATGTAGATGAATTATTGATCCATATATTCATACTCAATCCCAGTAAAATGTTGGTAAGGTCCCGCACCTCAGAAGGGTAGAAGACTAATAAAAAATGAGAAGGAAGAGAAGGCTGGGAGTAACAAACAATTTAACAAGCAATTTAAGGAAGGCCAAAGTAGAAATGATACATACTAAAAGAATTCTACTTCGAGGTTCTGGAAATAGCAATGGAATTCCAAACACCTTTTCTCTCTGCCTTCCTGGAGCCAGATTAAATGTTTCCCTTTCCTGAGCTTTAAGCTTTGTGTGGAACATTTCTTTTTTTCAAAAACCCAGTATTTTAATTCTCATCCCTCCAAGAACCAGGTATCCTCTTTCCAAATTGTACTAGGATCAGGCCTATAGACAGTCATTCTAATGCTCCTAAATATTTAACAAAGGAATGCTTTTAAAAATAGGAGAACCACAGTCTCTGTGATGCAATCCATTAGCAAGTTCGGCTATTAACTGAAAGGTTGGTGGTTTGAGCCCATCCAGGGACGCTGCCTTTTGCTGCGAAGTGACTTCAGCAACTTAGCTAAGCCCTAAACATCTTAATGAGACACGTCTCAAAATAAAATATAAAGGGGCTGGGGATATAGCTCAGTTGGTAGAGTGCTTGCCCAGCATGCCCAAGGCCCTGGGTTCCATCCTCAGCACCATCAAAAATAAATAAATAAAAATTTAAAAATAAAATAAAAAGGGCTGGGGATATGGGTCAGTGGTTGAGAGCCCCTGGGTTCAATCCCCAGTACCAAAAAAACAAAACATTTTTTCTTGGGAAAAAAATAATACAATTTGTTAAGACATTGTATTTTTCTTTTTTTCTCAAATTGAGGTAAAGTTTAGACTCAAACACATGTATCTAAAGTTGACAATTGGCCAAGTTTGGACAAATTATATATATATTATATATATATATATATATATATATATAAAATATCAATACCCCAGACAAGATAAAAAAAAAAATTATCATACCCCAGAAAATTCTCCCCCACACCTGGGTATTGGGGATGGAACCTGGGGTCCCTCTCACATGCTAGGCAAGCATTCTACCACTGAGCTATTCCCCCAATCCATATCCCAGAAAGTTCTTTCATGCTCCTTTCAATTCAATCAGATACCCCATAGGCAATCACTTTTCTATCATCCTATATTAATTTAGTCTACTTTTGAATTTCAGATAAAGTGAGCCATGCAGTATATACTTTTTGTACTTCTTTCAACATCCATTACTTCAATGAGATTCATCCATGTTGAAAGTAGCAGCTCACTTTTTAAAAATGCTGAATAGCATTCCACTGTTATCCATTGTACTGAGGACAGACATCTGGGCAGTTTCCAGTTTGGGACTATTATGAATAAAATGGCTATAAACATTTGTGTGTGAGTCTTTCTATAGTTATATGCTTTTATAAGATTGAAATGCTGCAGATATATGATTAACATTACAAGAAACTACCATATGGCTTTTAAAGGGGTTGTATCATGAGTGTCATTAAATTTTAAATAATGTACAACATTATATTTAATTACAATTCTCACATGTTATTCTAAAAAAAGGATTATTTCAGAGATGGACATCATTACCCTAAGTACATGTATGAAGGCACGAATGGTGTGAGTATACTTTGTATACAACCAGAAATATGAAAAATTGTGCTCTAGGCTGGGTTTGTGGCTCAGCAGTGGAGTGCTTGCCTGGCTTTGATCCTAAGCACCACCACATAAAAATGAATAAATGAAATAAAGTTATTGTGTGCAACTACAACTAAAAAAGTAAGTATAAAAAATTGTGCTCTATATGTATAATATGAATTGTAATACATTCTGTTGTCATAACAAATTAGAATAAAAATATATTTAAAAAATAAAAAAGGATTATTTCATATTAGTGATAGGATATACATGCTTTTTATTTTTAAAAAGCTTACACTCATATTAGTAAAAATTCCATATGGCAATGATGGGAACACAAAACTAAATATAAAATTTCAGATATTTAATAATTACTACAATTTGGATCTAAAATGTCCCCAAAGGTTCATATGTTGAAGACTTGGTCCCCAGCTGGTGGCACTACTGGGAAGTGGGGGAAACTTTAGGAGGTAGGGCCTAATTGGAGGAAGTATGTCACTGGGAGCATGTTCTGGAAGGTTATATCTTGTTCAGTTTCTCTCCCTGCCCTCATCACCACTGCCCCCCCACACACACACTCTCTCTCTTTTGTCTTATTATTTTATTATTCATTCCTTTTGTGTCACTGATTTCATAAACCACGAATTACCCACGTTTTTTACTGACCTAAAGTTATTACTTTTTTTCTTGACTAATACCAATCCCTCAAGTCTTCTCAGGAGGGTGCCCAGGGAAGGTTACTTTACAAATCTACAGGGAAGGGTAAAATGAACCAATAAACACAATTTGTCTTCACAAATCAAATTAGGAAACATACCCTTCTCTTGGGAACTCCTGTTTTATTTCTACTTGATGATGACTAAGTAGTTCAGCTGTTTTTGAATTGAAAACCTGAAAAAACATATTGCAATATTAGTGTAAAAATGCAAGAAGATATTAAACATGTCTAAATTTATTCAGCAACTGAAGTTCTTGTTCACAGATTTTAAAAAGTCCAATCAGATTAAATGCTACACAAGATTTTCTCTTCACATGGAATTGTAAAAGTTATTAGACAGCATCAGAAATAACTTCTCCTGGCCAGGGTCAAGGGCACATGTCTATAGTCCCAGCCACTTGGGAGGCTGGGGTGAGCGCATCACTTAAGCCTAGGAGTTTGAGGCCAGAGTAGGCAACATAGAGACTAAAGAAAAAGAAAGAATTAAATTCTCCTTAGAAAAGGAAATAAAACAAAAAACCTGAATGAAATCAAAAGAAATAACTTTCCTTTAGAAGAAATGAAACTTATTGAGGGTAAAGGTAAATTTAAGAGAAAATTCCTTAATAAACCAAAATGACTCTGGTTTTAAGAAATTTAATACATCAACCAACTAATAGTATGAACTTCCTTTTAAGAATAGGAAAACTTAATAATAAAAGTGAGCTGATACAATACTAATAGCTATGGCTTAAGGATTCATTCCTCACTCATGTTGGAGATATAGTCAGGAAGGGTCACATGACACACAGGCAAGGATGCATACTGTGTGGATTCCTCTGAAGGGAAGTGCTGCAATGCCTCTAGCTATCATGAGAGGGAAACAGCACAATCAGCTAAGTATATACTGGCCCCAACCAACCAAGCATTCTCTGTGATATCCTTATCATAAACTCCTGACCCTTGAGATAAAACATGAGAATCAAGGGATGAATGCTAACAAAGAACTGCTTGCTACATAATCCTCCCTAATTTTAGTGCTACTGAATCATTAACTTTTTTTTTAAAAAATTGGCAGATTTTTTTCTTATATATTTTCACCTGGTAGTCCCTATACTTGAGTACCAAAGCACTTAGAATGCATATTTTAATTAAAATTAACTCCCCAAATCACTGTAGTTATAGCAGTGAAATCACTTTCAATTAGTTAAAGAGTTACCATGTCTAGGTTTCCTGTGGGAGAAAATTACCTGTTCAACAAAGGCTAGCAGTCAGAGAAATGCAAATCAAAACYACCCTAAGATACCATCTCACTCCAGTAAGATTGGCAGCCACTATGAAGTCAAACAACAA